TAGGAAGGGAAAAATGAAGGAGAGGAAATCGGAGGGAGAGACGAACCATGAGAGACTATGGACTCTGAGAAACAAACTGAGGGTTCTAGACGGGGAGGGGGGTGGGGGGATGGGTTAGCCTGGTGATGGGTATTAAAGAGGGCATGTATTGAATGGAACACTGGGTGTTATATGCAAACAATGAATCATGGAACACTACATCAAAAACTAACGATGTAATGTATGGTGATTAACATAACATAATAAAATAAAATTTAAAAAAATAAAGGCATATATAGGTTACAGGTAAACAATGGAAAATAATATTCAATGGAAACATGATTTAAAAGAAAGCAGGACTGTTGACTCAGTATGAGACTAAAGCAGATGTCAAGACAGAGTATTACAAGAGTTTATAAAGAAGGATATTATTCTATAATAATAAAGTGATTAGTTCCTCAAGAGGTCATGAAATACTACAAAAAGATGTAGTAACAGATCTTCAAAATACACGAAGCAAAAACTAACAGAACTCAAAGGATATATAGACAAATCCATCACCATAGTTAAAGATTTTAATATTCTTCTCTCAGTAAGAAAACAGACTGAAAACCAGTAAATTATAGAAGCTTTCAACCACACTGATGTAATTGACATTTGTAAATTTTCTGACAATAGAATTAAAAATTGGGAGTCAAAATGAGAATTATATCTGGGAAATCCCAAATAAATGCTACCAAAGCAACACATTTAAAAACACACAGATCAAAGAAAAAATTACTAATGAAATTAGAAAACAGTATGAACTGAATGTTCTTATAAATGATACATATTTGTGAAACATAGCTAAAGCAGAGTCTAGAGAAAATTTACAGCTACTTCTATCAGAAGAGATTTTCTAACTTAATAAATTAGGCCAAAAAAAAGAAGCAATAATTTGCTTCAAAGTAAGAAGAAAGTAAATAGCAAAATTTTAAAAAGGTCAATAGAGGGGAAAAACTAAAACAAAAGCCAGTTCTTCAAAAAGATCAATAAAATTGATAAACCTCAGGGCCCCTGGGTGGCTCATTTGGTTAAGCATCTGCCTTCGGCTCACATCATGATCCCAGGGTCCTGGGATCGAGTCCTGCATCGGGCTCCCTGCTCTGCAGGGAGCCTGCTTCTCCCTCTCCCTCTACTGCTCCTCCTGCTTGTGCTCTCTTGCTGGCTCTCCCTCTCTCTCAAATAAATAAATAAAATCTTTAAAAAAAATTTTTTAAATTGATAAACCTCTAGTTAGACACATCAAGAAAAAACACAAATTACCATATTAGAAATGAAAGAGTCATCAGTATACATCATTACAGACATTAATGATGACAAGAGGTGTTGAAACAATTAGACATCCATATTTTTAAAAACTGATCTTGTTTTAGATCTCACATTACATACAATTAACTTAGAACAGAGTTTTAGTCAAAATTATTTGTCTAGAAAAAAGCGCAAATATTTGTGACATTCATTTGGGCAAAGATTTCTTAGGTAAGACACTAAAATCATGAATCATCAAAGACAAATACTGACAAACTGAACTCCATAAAAATTTAAAACTCTGTTCTCTGTTAAGAAAATCAGGACAGGGGCGCCTGGGTGGCTCAGTCGTTAAGCGTCTGCCTTCAGCTCGGGTCATGATCCCAGGGTCCTGGGATCGAGCCCCACATCGGGCTCCCTGCTCGGGG